CAGCGGGGACCTGGGGAGAGGCACAACTATGACCGTCTGTGCCCAGTGGGCATGAATCCCCATGCCCTGCCAGCAACTCTGTGAAAAAACTGAGGCTCAGTGAGAAATGATCTGTCCCAATTGCATCGCTGGCTTTCAGCAGAGCCCAGAACCAGACGCTCGGAGATTCCATGAGGCAGGTTGTTCTAGATGAGCCTGGGGCGCTGAACATCAGGCACGCAAACCCGACACACAGGGCACTCAGATATGAAGGGAACGAGCGGATATGCCGACAGGGCTCACCAGCGTGGACACATGTACACTGATCCGTGCACAGGGAAAATGCCCCGAGTGCTGGTGTGCATGGCACGTGTGCAGAGAGCACAGGGGCAACTGGCCCGGGCTGGAGCCCTCTGTAGTCTCCCGCTGAGGGGCTCCCTGAGCCAGCCCCAGCTCCAGGCCCATGCACCGCGGGTCCACGTGGGCTCCGGGTCAGTGCCTCCAGGCCCCTGCTCCGTGGGAGGCCTGACTCCCCGCCTGCTCTGCCCGCCCTGCCCAGGTGCACATCCAGAACGCCACGCTGGCCGGAGGGGTGGCCGTGGGCACCGCCGCCGAGATGATGCTCATGCCCTACGGCTCGCTCATTGTCGGCTTCATCTGCGGCATCGTCTCCACCCTGGGCTTTGTGTACCTGACGGTGAGGCCCCAAGCCCCAGACTAAGGGCTGGAGAATCCTGGGTCTCTCTACTTGGGGCTTCCAGAATCCTGGCCTCCCCACACCCCAGTCTTAGCAGCACCCATCTCCCCTCTCCAGCCATTCCTGGAGTCCCACCTACGGATCCAGGACACGTGTGGCATCCATAACCTGCATGGGATCCCGGGCATCATCGGTGGCATCGTGGGTGCCGTGACGGCGGCCTGCGCCAACAGTGAAATTTATGGACAGGAAGGGTACGTATGGAGGAGATGCGGGGAGGGGAGTTCCCTCCTTCCTCCTTCCCCTCTCCTCCCCGCTGCTCCTCTGGGGCCCAAGATTGTGTCTCTAACCTTCCCCAACTGGACGACTCTTTTTTCATGGGAGTCTCTCCCCAACCTCTGCCCTTTCACAAGAGTCTGAGGCCATCTGATGTATCCAACGCCCCCATTTTGCAGATGGCAAGGCTGAGGCCCAGGGTTTGTTAAACACTGGTGCCTGCTCACATTTGTGGGGTGGCTGCAAATGGCTACTTGGCCTCCTGCGGGGCCCTGACCTGCCCCTTGTCTCCACCCCAGGCTTGCTCATGCCTTTAACATGGAAGGTTTCAACGGGAACTGGTCCCCAAGCTTGCAGGGCTGTTTCCAGGCCGCAGGCATCTTCGTGTCCCTGGCCATGGCTCTGGTGGGCGGCGTCATTGTGGGTAAGTGGGAATGGCTGGTGCGGAGAAGGCGGGGCCAGGGGTCAGCAGGGGGCCACCAGGGGTCCTTTTTCTCTGCCCACCAGGCCTTCGCACTGGAGACTGTCCCAGCTGAGGGAAAGGGCTGGGCAGGCAGAGAGGAAGTAGGTCCTGACCCCTTGTCACCTCCAACTTTCTTTAGGAGTCATTTTGAAATTACCAATCTGGGGACAAGCTGCTGATGAGAACTGCTTTGAGGATGCCATTTACTGGGAGGTGAGTCCCTTACGTAGACGGTCGCTCCAGGTTCTGTTTTGATCTGTATAATTTATTCTGAGTTCACACCTTTTCCCTGCTCTATGCCCTTCGGCAACACGTCATTTTGAGTAATATAATTCTGTGCGGGAGGAAGCGAGCCACCATCAGGCTGTCCCTTGTCTGTCTGTCCGTGTCCCCCCCTCCCCGCCCCCGCCTCTTGGTGGTTTACCTGGAAGGTGACTTCCCACAGGGTGGGGGTGAGGCCGAACCTTTGGGATTAAACCTAAGCCTTGAGGCCAAGGCCCAGCTGATCCTCGATCCCTCCACTCAGTACAGCCTACTGCTCCCCCGCCTCCCCCCGCCCCACTTTTGGACCTGCCTGCAGCCCTGCAAGCTTACCCTGCTCCCTTGCCTCTCACCTGGCACACAACTTACTACACGCCTTTCAAACGTGGGTTCAGCAGCACCAGAATCCCCCCAGGCTGGGTTACCAGCCACTTGTGCGCGTTTACAACACCCGAATGCCCTCCCATTGCCTCTGGTAGGGCAAGGGCTCTGCCTGGGCCTGGCAATGCCCCAGCACCCTGGACAGTGGCGGTCGTGAAGCAGGCGGGTGACACAGTTTGAAGGACTGCCCTGCTCCTAGGCGCGCGATCTGCACGGTGCCCACTAGGTGCCGCCCGCTACACAGCATTTGCGGCTCCCGACTTGCCCAGGGACACCAGCCCAGCCCCAGGCAGGGGGCAGGGGACAGGGCCCTCCCAGCTGAGTGACCTCCTCTCTCTGCAGGTGCCCGAGGAGGAGAAGAACCACGCCTCGCATCCTGAGGACTCTACCCTCAAGCCACCAGAACCTTAAAGCTCCCAAGGCAGGTCCGAAGCAGGTAAGCGTGAGCATGGCTTGCCAGTGTGGGGGGGGTCATGGGCAGGTTCTCCCAATGGGGGGGAGCCAGCCTTGGGAGTCAGATACCACCAGCAAAGGGGCAAACAGAAAGCATGAAGGAATGAGGGGGGTGAGCTTCCACCCCTCCTGCCTGGCGTCGGTGGGGGAGACACTCAGAGTCAGATCGCGTGCGTGCTGGGCAGACAGACACGGGCATTAGACGGAAGGTGACCTGGCTTTGCTGCTTACTGATCGAGCAAGTGACTTTGAGGATCTCTTCCCCCCAGGGACTGAGTCTCATTTATAAAAGTGGAGAGGACAGGGCCAGCTCTATTCAGTTGATCAACTCGAGCAAGACCCTTCCTTCCTTCCTTTCTTCTGTCAACTCACATTTCCTTGCCCCTCTGGGAATGCACCATGCCTCCTGCGTCTAACCCTCCAGAGACCCCTACAAAACAGGCGCAATTACTTCCCTCGCTCTATGTATTTATTTTTTAAATATATTTTTTATTGATTTTAGAGAGAGGGAAGGAGAGGGAGAGAGAGAGAGAAACATCCGTGATGAGAGTCATTGATGGGCTGCCTCCCGCACGCCCCCTGCTGGGGATCGAGAAGCCTGCAACCCGGGCATGTGTCCTGATAGGGAATCGAACCTGCAACCTCCTGGTTCATAGGTCGACCCTCAACCACTGAGCCACGCCGGCCGGGCACGTCCCTCCTTTTAATAGGTCAGGGAATTACGGCTCAGAGAGGTTTGGGGTTTCAAGGTTCCACAGCTGGCGAGTGGAGGAACTGGGGTCTTTCTGGGTCATTGTCATTACTTTCACCATCACTGTTTGACCTCCAGGATGCCAGCGCTTGGAAAGAGCTGTGTCTGGGGCAAAAGTCTGAATGACGTGGCAGGAGAGGACATTGGGGCTTAAGGAAAGAGAAAAGTGAGGCCGTGACCGGTTGCTTCTAATGCTCACCCTACCCAGAGGGAAAGATGCCCGACGGGGCTGCAGCAGGACCTGACGGCAGCCCCTGCTCTCGGCTCTCTCCCTGCAGGCTCCACAGGTGCTCCAGAAGGAGCCGGTGCCGGCCGAGCTGGGTACCCAGGGGCAAGGGGAGCAGCACCCCGCCTGCTGGCGGAGCCCAGGGTGCCGCCACCCTCCCTCCCCCTCCATCCCAGGGGGCCTGCCTGAGAATGGAGGAGGCCAGCAGGCAGAGTGGGCATCCAGGCCGGGCTCTGGCTGCAGGAGGCCTGCCCCCGGGGGTCCTAGTGGCTTCATCCTAAGAAGAGCGGGCAGGCTCGGGGGCTGGGCCTGGAAGTGGACCCGAGGCCTCCTAGGTGACAACTTGGCTGCCAGCCACCAACGGCTGGGCTCTCGGCCTGCACGCCCCATGCTCCCTGGTCCCCCAGACCTCTCTGTGCCTTATGCAGACGGCAGCCTCTGTGAATAAACATTCTAGCTGTTCTTTGTAAAACGGGTGCGGACACTGCAATGGTTTGAGGCAGAACAGGACCCAAGACACCTGGCTCCTGCCCCAGTCCTGACCTCCCACCCCAAGCTTCAAGGGCACTAGGGGGTGCAGGGGAGTAGGCAGGAAGGACTCTTTGGGGCCAATCTCCTTCCCCTACCATACCTATCTTCCTCCCTGCCAAGCCAGCCCTGCTTTCCCTCCACAGTAGAGGAAGGCTTCATCAGTTTAGATTTCCCATCACTTAATGAGTCCTGCCACCACCCCGGGGAAGAATAACACCCAGTCCCTGCCCTCGGGGGACTCGCAGTCTAACTGGGGGACCACCTGACACCCAGTATCTACCCTGAACTAGACAGGCCTTCAGTGCCCGGGTGGCTTCCCAGAGTGGGTCACGCGAGTAGGGTTTTGGAGGCTGAATAGGAGTTTACCAGAAGGCTGGCAAAGCGACAGCACGGGCAGAGACCCAGCGATGGGAATGCAGATCCTTTGAGGAGCAAAGACTCCAGAGAAAGAAGGGGTGATGGAAAGGGGAGACGGCCTGTCCTGCCTCCAAATCCCCCCCCATCACAATTCACACACACACACACATACACACACACACACTCGGGCCTTCATGCCCCTCGCGGGAGGAGAGGGGTGGAGAAAGGCGCTGAAATGCAACCTATTCATGCTCCCCGCGCAGGGAACACCCGTCATTTTCCATGCTGGGTAAAGACAAAAACCCTTTACAGCCTGTTTCTGGAACTTGTCAGCAGCTGCCAAGAGGAGCATGTTAATTAAACGTCGGCAAAGATGGAAGCCGGAGGCCCCGGCTCTAATTGGACAGTTTGCTTCGGGGATTGAAAAACATTGTGACAAAAGAGGAGGCGCGCGGGGCGCCGCGGGGGGCGCGCCGGGGAGGGGCCGCGCTTTGATTTGCGTTTCAGCCGACGCGCCTCCGGCCTCGCCGGGCACGCCCACCCGAGGGGGCGTGGGAGGGGTGCAGGGTGGGCGAGGTCCCCCAAGCCTGCATGCCAGGGCAGCTAGCAGTGCCCCCTCCCCCGGCCCACCCCAGGCAGTAATACTAGGCACAGCCGAGGACCAGGCTTTGGGACAGGGACAGCCCCCCTCCAACATGATTACAGGATCTGAGTCTTGGGGGGCTGTGCAAGGAGGGCCCCCAGGGCAGGAGCCGGGTAATCACCCCTGGGGGCAATGTTGAGGCTGCCCTGGGAAGCCCTCCAGAGGGAGAGACCCGGATCTGGGCCCCGGTTGCCCAAACTCTCTCTGGGCTGCTTGATCAGGGAGCTGAGATCTGGAAAATGCTAGCGACTGGCAGGCTTGTCTTGGCAAACGTGCTGTAAAGGTCCTCACGGAGGTCCTGGCAGAGCTTGGAGTTGCCAGCAGGGCTGCAGGGGGGCACCCGAGACTGTGTGTGTCCCCCGCCCCGTCTGCATGTTGGACGGCTGTATCCCTGACTCGCAGAGGACGTGCTGGGTACACACTGAGCGCCTTACCAGCCCGGTGACGGAACCTCCCAGCCACCCTGAGGGAGCCGGAGCATTCGTACGCACTCATGTCACAGGCCCAGAGAAAACAAATAACAGTCCGAGGTCACAGTGTTATTCGGGGTGGCTCCAGGGGGAGCCCAGACCCCTCTGATTCCAGCGTCTGAACCTGGGCTCCCTGCTCCCTGCTCTCTGGTTTGCAGCCCAGCCAGGAGAGGGGGGTCCTGAGGCCGAAAAGAGAGGGTTCCTAAGTGCAGAAGCCCTCCTCAGGGCCTCCAGGGGGTGCAGCAGGCTGGGGGTCCCTTGCATCTCCTGGGCTGGGGGTGCTTAGCTAGCAGGGGCAGAGCTCCCTCTTCTGCCCCCTTGTGTGTTGGCCCCAGACTTGCCCCCCGCCCCACTGGCATCCTGAGCTTTTCCCCAGGAGGGCCCTGCTCATTCGGGGTGGGAGGCCAGGCTGGGGCCCTTGAGAGCCAGAAGCGAGCATGGGAAAGGGGGCCACTGCGGCTGAGCCCCGGGGATTAAGAGCTACAAAGTGGATGAAGATGGCTGAGGCCATTGATGGCGGCCCCCGGGAGCTGAGTTCCG